AGGACGCGTTTGAGATGCAGCCTTCTCTGTACATCAGTGAAGGCTGAGATTGACTCAACTGAGATTCCTGGTCAAGCTCGGAGGAGGAAAATGCCAGCAATGTATTGCCAAAACAGCAACTGCTGACCACACATTCCCTACTTTGCAAGGCTATACATCCATCCATCCATTTTCCGTCACGCTTAGCCCAAGCGGGGTCGCAAGGGGTGCCTATCTCCAGCTGTCTACGGGCAAGAGGCGGGGTACCCCTGGACAGGTCGCCAGTCCATTGCAGGGCAACACAGAGACAAAGAACCATTCATTCAGGAGGCCAATTATCCTAACAGTCATGTTTTTGGACTGTGGGAGGAAGCCAGAGTACCCGGAGGGAACCCACTTATGCGCATTGAGAACATGCAAACTCCACACAGAAAGACCCCAGGCTGGGAATCACACCTGGAACCTTCTTGCTACAAGGCAGCAGTACTACCATGTTAAAGAATGTTACATTTTTTTGTGGACACAATGATATAAGGGCTTCAAAGACTCTTTGAAGCTGAAGATAACTCCATTTCTGAATGCCCTCCATTGCCTGACACTCCCAGAGAACTGGAAAGCAGCCCAGATTCCAGTAGAGGTACTGCAAGCTCTGAAAAGGCTCTGCAAGTTCTACAATGTTGAAGAAGACAAATGGTAGACGGAACTAAAGGTCTTCTACAGTTCATACTCATGTCCTTCACCCATCAGTGTTACATCTATTCTTTCAGCGCTCAAAGAAGACAATGCAAATCTGGTTTTTCTCCAAAGATGACTCGTGGCGCTTTTCCAGTTTCTACAGCTACTGTTGAACGCTCTTTCTCAAAACTCAAACTGGTAAAAAAAAACATAATTTTGCAGCCTTTTCACAGAAAAGAAGTTGTCAGAGCATCTTTTACTGGCAATTGAAAAGGATATTTCTGTCAACCTCAGTGAAGTCATTGCCATTTTTAAGAGCAGGGGCAACAGGAAGTTGCTGTTAGAACTGCTAAAAAGTAAAATGCCACTATGATGTGTACAAAAAAAACTCAGGAACAGACAGAATTACAGACCTACCCTGTCTCTATTGTCTTTCTCCCATTAATGTTAACCTTTTGGTTACGGTTACTTATATAATGTGAATACTGTTAATAAATACAGGTAGAAACCTTTCATCTTGAACTCTTACATGTGTTTGCAGCTTCGAATGAGCAACTTGGTTTTAAGTGGCCAGCCTTGGCAACAGCCTCTCTCAGCAAGTGGTCTCCTCCAAACTATGGGTGTGGGAGGGCAGTCACACTGAGCCATTTTTAATGAAAGCATACCACTTGTTTAATCAGCTACTATCTCTCCCATGCTGTTTTAGCATCTACACCATCAGATCAATACAGCCCACCTCCAGCAACACAGCAGCACCAACCCCCTCAACAGAAGCTGCTCGATTTACCCATGAGGTAAAACACAGGCTCATCTCGCTTTGCACTGACCTCTAACAAATATGTGA